ATTTCCAAATTCACAAACATTGGTTATTGCAATTGCATAAATTTTCAGGTTTGTGTGCTCAAAATAGGTTTATAAACCTTCGTCAAGTAGAAGAGGACAGATAGCACAATAGGAGAGACAGCACCAAGTAGTGCCGCCTCTCCAACTTCTTCTGAATTCACAAACATTAAGTTAGTGCAAAGCGGGGAGGTAGCGGGTTCGTATCCCGCTGTCTCTCCTATTATGCTGTCTCCTATTATGCTATGTCCCGCTGTCTCTCCTATCGTAGCAGTTATGTGTTAAGACATTGATAAAATGATTGCGGGAAAGAATATAGTTAAAAAACAGTTAATTCGTGTAGCAGTGAAAAGAGAGGGCGTTTTAACAGTGGTTAAATAATAGTGGGTTCAAGCTTTGAACCAAAAAAATGAGTTCAAAAATTAAACAAATGATAATAGGCGAGGTACCGATTAAAAGATTGTAGGTTTAAGTACCTACGGAAAGATAGTAAGTTCATGTTTTAAACAAAGTGGATTATAAAAATGGATCAAATGATAGTGGGTTCAAGCAACTGATAGTGGGTATCAATAAAAAGAGAGAGGGTTCAAAAACTGTCCAAAGGACAGTTGGTTCGAGAAGCTTTAGAAATATTGTGGGTTTGAAAACTGATAAAATGATAGAGGGTTTGATTAAAGATAAAGGTGGGTTCGAGTACCGATAAAAAAATAGTGAATTCGAGATTTAAACAAATGATAGTTAGTAAGAGTATGCTTATAAAATCTTTTTAGATTTGAGTATTAATCAAAAAGATGTATGGTTTCTAAATCTGTTCAAATAATATTAGGTACCGATAAAAAGGCTGTAAGTTAGAGTACTGATAGCGGGTTTTAAGTATCGATAGTAAGATAGTCAAGCTCTGAACAAAAAAATGTAGGTTTAATCAAAAGTTATATAGGGGAATCTGTTTATCTTAACTGCACACATTTAAATGATATTTCAAAGCTATTTACATTCGTTGTGTCGCGATTTTGTTAAAAATTGTTTTGAAAAATGAAAAATTGTCTAGTTGCAACACAATTTGTAAGTTTACAATTTTTTTTTTGTGAATTTATAAACTCATTCACTCTCTCATAAATAAATTAACTGCTGTTAATATACTTACTCGTTGTTAATATGCATATTCACTGCTCTTAAAGCAATGTTAATCTTAGACATGAAACTTAAAACAATTCTTGATTGTTGAATTCCTTGCTTATTGAACATAAATTGACATATTGAACATTAACATAAATTGATTAGACAGATTCAATTGATAAAATGTTGAAAGCAGAAGTTCTTTATAGAATATCCGTAGATTGGTGCCATCTGAAGCAGTTGTTTCTGAATAAGCCAGAAATTGAGTTTTACAAATCATTACCAAAAGCTAGTTTTCCAAATATTTCATGCCTAAAAAATCAGGGCTATGTTTGCTTCATTTTATTTAAGTGTTTTCGTAGACGAACCCGAGAAAAAATCATTTCAAAAGTAGAATAACAGACAAACATTTACCCTTGTTCCTTAAAATAAGTACATCTCACTTGGAACCTTAATGTAAGGAACTTTTAAAAATGAAATCGCAATTTCATTCATTTCATTAAATATTGAAAATTGTATATAGTATTTTATTTTTCATTTTAGATGTTTTTACTTAGCCCACCAAATTTTTTTTTCTTCGATTTTTTGCCCTCGACCAGAAAAGTTTGGCCATCTCTGGTTTAGAGAATAGACAAGGAACTGAAAAATGGGAAACTAAATTGTCAAAAAAAAAAAAAGACTATAATGCTGTGCATTTTTTGTTCCGTCTTTAGTAAAACTTATATGTGAAGAATTTTAATTTCCAAGAAAGCTAACCTCAGAATATAGGATTAAAAGAAACCTAAAAATATATTTTTCAAAGTAATAATGTTTTTAAAAATTAAAAAATTGAATAATTTGTGAGACATAAATCTGGGTCTTGTTCCTCGCCTTTCTAACCTGGCGCTCCGGGCAATCGCCCGTCTTGCTCACTCCTTTCACCGGCCCTGCACCCAACGTCCACTCCTTTTACGCGATTGGGAGGAAGGGGGCGTCAAACACAGGTGTGAGGATGAAAATTATATGTAATACCCCTAAACGAACAGAATTTTGTAGGCTTCTCTATTTGTATCTTGAAAATGTCGGTTAGACTACTCATAATTTTTTTTTTTATGATTTCAAAGATTCATTTAGGACAGTGTTTCCCAAAGTGTGGTACGCGTACCTACAAGGGTACGGGAAAAGTTTTGTGGGATTATGCGTTCTTATGCGAAATATCTTGCAGCATATGAAAATTTCAAAAAATTTTATTTGAAAACAAAACTAGCCATGAAAACTTATGATTACATATTTTTCTATTGGCTATTTTTTGCAGAGTTAACAGTTAATAATGAGTGGTATCAACAGCCAGTTGTGATTTTTAACTTTTGAGCATTTTTTATAGTAAAAAATGCATTCATTTTTTTATTAGGGGTACACAGCGTTGCGAACAATTTAAAAAGGGTACACAAAATTCATAAGTTTTGGAAACACTGATTTAGGAGTTTAATAGTCTTTAAAATAATTAGAATATGGATATAAAGGTCTTGAATCTATATAGCTTGGACAAACTTACATTCATTACATGTACATTCACAGTAACCCATATTGTGTACCCCCTACTAGGCCTATAATCATATCCTCTTCTAGTAAGTTACACTGGTACCCGGTAATACAATACGTGGTCCAATATTAAAAGGAGATATACATAATATGGACTTCGAATACTTTACTCATTTTAACGCTATATACATGCATTGCATCCTTTAGGCCCCGATCTGGACCTGACTCTCACGTCGTTTATTCTCTTTTATCTATTTTGACCTTAAGTTTTTTGATTATACCTATTTTTGATTGTTTTGTCAGTTTTTACATTTTGACCTTTTATTTATTTAGCTTTGATCTTTTCTTTGGGTTTTTATGCACTTTTGCTCTTGGATTTTACCTTTTTTTCTTGTTTTTTTTAAATTTTTATTGTGTCTTGACTTTGTTTTAACTTAGTTTTATCAATTTACCATTTTATACTTTTTCTTGAGATTTTTATTATTTTGCACTATACCTATTTTTAAACTTGTATTATTTTACTTGCGTTCTGCTGTACTATTGTCTTTCCTTTTTGCTTTACTATTTTTATTAGGGCCAGTTGGCATGATTCGTCATTATCTTCTGTTTTATTTTTGGTATCTGTTGGATGTGTCACAACTGTATTATCTAAGCACTGGTTTAAATTTTTTACTGAATTTTTATAATTCTGTTTTTGTTTCCACCTCCTATACTGATTTTTATACTCGTTGTTTTTCGAGTTTTATGTACGTATAATGTATTATTTATGCATGTATAAAGTATGAATCTTCTCTCGCATGCTCTTAAATAGGGCGGGCCGCGATCCAAATGAACATATATATGCATTGTAACCTTGTACGGTAATATAATAGGTCAGGGGTGGCGAACCTTGATGCACCAGCGTGCCATTTTTTCTTAAAAAAATTGTTTAATGAGGCCATAGACGTGCCGTCAAATAATTTTGACTTCGTGATTATGGGGAAAATAATAATACTAAATACTATCAACTCAAAACTCTTTATTTACTATGAAAAATAATACATTTTGCAATGCCTCAGTTATATGCGTTATTCATCTTAAAGTAACATCAGTGTGACTTATGTTATTGCAGATTAAATGACAAATAACTTAGATTGTAAGATGTTACTTTCTTACTAACTTACTTATCCTCTACGTGCCTTTGAGCACTTAAGGCCTCTAGCATATCCCTCCAACGCCTCTTGTCTCTAGTAATAGATTTTGCTTTCTCCCAGCCAGATATTCCACATTCTTTTAATTCGTCCAAAAACATGCGCTGGGTATTAAGTCTGGGTCTTCCTCTTGTTCTTTTACCATCAGGGGCCCATGTAAGCGCAACAGATGTAATTTTTCTTTGGGCATTCTAAGGATATGTGCGAGCCAGCTCCATCTTCGTTATTTAATTTCATCTTCTATTGTTTTTATTTTAACTTTCTTTAATATATTTCGACTTGATACTTTGTAAGGCCAGAAAATTTTAAAAATAAATCTTAAACATTTGTTTTGAAAGGTTTCTAATTTTTGTATTTTGATCTTAGTCTGCTTCCAGCTTTCTGCGCCGTATAATAGTATTGCCTTAACAATAGCTTTGTGAACAACTATTTTTGTTTTTATTTCAATATTTGACTCTCTCCAAAATTTATGTAATCCCTTAAAACATGTTCCTGCTTTGATTATTCTCTGTCTAATATATGCACTACTTCCACCCTTTTTTATCTACAATAGAACCTAAATAGCTAAATGACTCTATATAATCTATTTTGTGATTTTCGATTTTAATTTTGTCATTTTTCCTTTGATTTATTCTCATTTGTAAGATGTTAGTTCAAGCATTACTGTTAATTTTTTGCTAGTTATTTATTGTTAGCTTGTTTTTTATGCTCATTAATTGTTTTTTTTGCATTAATTGTTAATTATTTGGTTAAAAATTGTTTATTTTTTTGTTTGTTGTGAATTTTAATTTAATTGTTAATATGCTTCATAGTGAGACTTTGTGATGGGTGGCGTGCTCAAAATATTGTGCCATTGGTTCGCCATCCCTGTAATAGGTGGTCCAACCTGAATATTACGGGACAATATGACACGGTTAAAGTTGTTTACTATGTATGTTACAGTTAAAATATGAAATTCGTTATTTTATGGAATGCCTAGTGTGAGACATTTTGTCTCTTGGTTCGTTTTTAAAGACTCCTCAATAAGGATGACCAAGGATTATTTCAATTATAGCTTATTTATTATTAAATTCTTGATTATAGAATTATTTACAGAAAAGTTACAACTAGATACATGAGCTGTTGAGTATAATGTTCTTGGAGCGCAACTGCTCCCTTTCATACTAAATCTATCATCGTTCAATTACAACTCTACTCTTCGGCGTTCAAAACGAATCTCTTCTAAAAATCCTCTTTCCCATAAGAAACAGTCCTTTGCTCCACCCCCAATGTAGGGGACGACACCTCCAGTGTCCTTCACCCTCTGACCCTCAGGTCAAGGGGTCAATCAAATGCGTGGGAGAGGAATCAGGATCCTGACACCTAGTTATTCCATGAAATAACTGATCGTGTCCGTTAAAGTGTAAAACTCTCGTGCATTTCATGGTTTAACTAGTTATTTCATAGAATAACGATCTGCAGCCCGATAAAGTGTAAAATAATCTATATCATATATCTTGCACGACAGTTTAAGTTTAGGTACTGGTCAGGGATTTAAAAAATGTTCATGTAAAACCCCGTGTGTCAACAAAAATTTTTTTTGTTTTAGAAATAATGTTCTTTGTAATTCCAAGTGTCATTTTAGTAATCCTTGTTGTAACAAATGATTTTATGGTACGTTTCCATAAATACCATTTATGCGCTGCATAAATGAGATAAATTGCTTCCTTTTCATTTTAATTGTTTATCATTAGCTTATGTATTGAATACCTAGTTATTTCATTTTAGATAAATTGTTTATTTTACACTTTAACTGTCTCTCATTAGTTAATTTATAGAATACCTAGTTATTTCATAGAATAACTAGTTAAAGTGTCAAATGAATAACATATTACACACTTTAACGGACACGATCAGTTATTTCATGGAATAACTAGGTATTCTATGAAATAACTGCATTATATACTTTAACGGTAACATGTAAGGTAAACCAACCAGTGAAGGAACACTACCCAGTGGAGGAGTATTTCATATATATTGATTAAAAATAAGAATTTGAAAGTTTTTCTTTAGATTGATTGGTAACAATAGCTTACTGCCAAACCATAGGAAGTCATCAAGCAATGTCTTGGATTACCTGGTCAAATAGACTTCTCTGGAAAATTTTTTGAATTTGTTATTATCTCTGCAACACCTTGTTTCGTTGAAAAAATTATAAGGTGAGTTTTTGTATTTATGTGTTTGAAGTGGAATTAATAGCATGTCATAGTTTTATTCTTCTCACTGTGAAAGAGAGAATTTAAAATGTAGTTATTGAAGTTACGTCTTATTTTTTTAAAGCATCATAGCATAATAAAGTACTGAGATAAGGGGGTGTTTATTCACTGGATCACCAAACGATGAAAAACCAGTGAAGGAACAAGTGTTTCTTTACTGGGTTTAATGAAATAAAAGTTAATGAAAATAAAAGATACATTTTAATTTTCTTGTACCTTTAGTGATGTTCCGCATCGAAAGTATGTTAAAAATACGAAAAACAACTTCTAACCAGTGAGGGAACAGGCATTTTCCTTTACTGGGCATAGATTTCCCAGTGAATGAACAGTATGTGTTAATATGTTGACACTTTAATTTTCAAATCATGATTGCAAAAAAAAGTTAACATTTTCCAAGTATTTATATGTTATAATTTTAAGAATAGGCTAGTTTTTAAATATTTGTAAGGCTTATAAATTCATAAGGTGCATTAAAAAATAACCAAAATGAAGTGTTCCTTTACTGGGTGTTCATTCACTGGTAAGAGCTGTTCCTTCACTTGGTCTTCTTACTACTTGTTATTTGAACCTCCAAAACTTTAAAACAATATATAACACTCTAAAATTGTTTTACATAATTTGCAATTAGTAACAAATATGTTGACACTGTCATTTAACTAAAATTACGAATTTTGAAATTAATATGATTTTTTAAAAAGCAAGCGGAGCTTAAGCGTTCCTTCACTGGTTAGTTTACCCTATATCAAACAATTCTAAAATTATTTAAAGCTCTTAACTGATGAAGTGTTCTTTCAGTTTATTGTAATAAAAAAGAAATGATGAAATAAAATGACGAAAACTTCATTAGCATCCTTCAATATTTTGATAGATTTCCGGGAGAAATAATTCGAAGAATAAATCCTTCGAAATTTCAAGGATCACACAGACCGAATCAGCAAGGTTATTACTAAACCCCTCAAGGAAGTAAATCCTATAAATAAACATTAACAGTTCCCACAATGCACCTTACCGCGAAGTGATGGTGGCACTAACCCCGTCTCAGATTTAGGATCTCAGACTATCGAGGGGGGAAAGGATTTCTCTCTCTCTGAACTCAACTAAAGAGTCGTCCGAAGAACCGTCTTCCTGCAACGCTCTCTCATTCTCTCAGCTGTGGTTTAAACCAGTAAAACCATGTCCACGACGGTGAAAACCACGAAATATACCTACAAATCAAGTACCGGTGGTGCGACCAGCGACGTCACCATGGAGTACGGAACAGATGTCGGTGCATTTACACGGTTTGAGGTAAATTATTTAAAATTCGAAAAATTCGTTTTTCTTTCAACCCCCAGGAGTTGTTTCTGATTTTTGAGCTTGATTCTTTTTAGTTTAAGGGGTCACAGTACCTTTGCAAAGGTATAATTATTCATTTTGTGGATGCTTTACATGCTCATTTAACTTATAATCAATAACTTATCTTAAAAAAATAATTATACCGTTTAGTTTTTTTTTTAAATTTAAGAAAAAATCGAAAAAAAATCACAATTTTTAAATCCCTATGGCTTTTTTATTTTAACCTATTTTCAAACAAAATTTTTTTCTTAGTGCTTGCAATATTTATTTTCACAATTTTGTGTATTCATTTGTTGATATATCAATTATAATATTTTTTATCGATTATTTTGTAAAAACGTAGAAAAAAAAGGCTAAAAATTCCTTTTAGGTATATATAACATGCTGTAAAAATTGTAGTGCTTCATAAAATGCCAATTCCATGCACAGTTTAAATAAGGGTATTTTACTAAAGATAAAAAATTTTACTTCAAAGCTTTATCTTAAATAGAAAAAATTCCATAGGGATTTAATTAAGATTAAAACCCGAAACTATCATCTATGAGAAAAATCACTTTAAACTCTGTCTGCAGAGCAAATTTCTGTATTCGGGCAACCTAAAATCTTTCATAACTTTTTTAAAAACGTAAATAGAGAGATGGTGTTTTTTTCAGTGCATTTGAAAAAGTTCGAAGTTTTATTATTAGCAATAAAAAATTTCATTATTTTGGTCATATTTTGGGTACTGTGACCCCTTAAATATATAAAAATTAATTTAATGAGTGTCGTTGACAAAATATTGCTACTACAAAAATATGGACCTACGTAAGAATAAAATGTCGTTAAATATTTAAGGATAGTTAGTGATACCAAAATTTCAATATCACTGCCTAAGACAACGAAGAAATAATTTTGATAAGTAAATTGAATGAATTTAAAATTGCACGAATTTTTTAAATTTGTATTAAATTTGTAAAAAATGTTTTCGATCAAGATTGATTCTTTTTTTTGTTTAAATATACAAATTAACTTTGATTTTATAAAGGGACGAAAAGAAAACATTAAAAAAAAATAATTGGATCCATAATTCATGCTATAACATGAAAAATGTAAATTTTTTCAAAGAATGTGTCGATTTATGTTGAAGTTTAAGTAAGCTCCTTGCGCTATATTTTCCCGTAAATTCAAAGATTGTTTGTTCATTTCAACTCCATTTACATTTCTCTTCGAATTGTAGGGAAAAAACTGACACATTTTTTTACTAATTTGTATACAAAAAAGCAAGTTTCGGAAAAAAAACATGAAAATTGTGTCCCTATGAACATTTTGAAACATTGAAATGACTATAAAATATGTTGTGGCACATTATTTTGAAATTATTTCTCTACAAGTTTTTTTNGTCCATATATTGTGGGGGAGTGAATTTCCCGTGTCAAACTAATGTCTAAAATTTTAAGTCTCCTTGAAAAAAAAAATTCGCTCTGAAATTTGAAATCTATATTATAGAAATTAAAAATTAAGAACCTTTATCAATCATATTTTGAAATCAGAAACATACAATCAGCTTTAAAACCTTATTGAAGACTACACGAAACTCAAGAAACACTGCAACAGAACAAAATTTTCCAAATTACTTAAATCTAGGTTTCTTTAAGCAAGTAGAGTTTTAAAAAGTGAATGAATCAGCTGTTCCAAATCCTTACCATGATCTTTAGAAATTTTAGCACGCGTGTCTAACCTCGCAGTATTCAGGCTTTAGTTTTAAAGAAAATTAAAATTGTGAAATTTCTTGAATCACAAGAGCTTAACAAGTACTGATAAACTCCTTTGTAACATTGTAACCTGCAATTCATGGGGGCG